AACATACATCCTCTTTTCACGAGAAAACACACCTTAAGAGTATATTTCTTCATATATATATATATATATATATATATATATATATATATATATATATATATATATATATATATATATATATATATTTGAAAAGATTCTTGCAGGTACAAAATTTTATTATGGCAAGGAATAAGCGGAATGTAAAGGACATAATTATGAAAACTAAGAACTAAAACAAACAACCGGTTTCGTCCCAGTACTCCTCAAGTTTGATACACTGGGAATATTTAATCATAAACTTAAAAACATAAAGCCATTCAATCAGAGGAAAAGGGGGAAAAATTTTTTTATATATGATAGAAAGAACTAGAGCCCAATCACATTCAAGCCCAACAAGCAATCTCTCTGCTTACAGAGAAACGGCCTGCGGGACTTGATGTAAATGGACTCAAGAACCTTCAAATGATATGCAGAGTGTGACTTCGCCAGAATGAAAAAAACAGTCAACACTCAAACCAGCAACACATTCCCTGCTAGATGACCCGGATGTATTCACTAGTTGGCTTTTGTTAGCGGCCGGATTTAAAATTCTGGGGGTAAATGTTGTTTAATTCAAAATCCAAACGCTGAGACGTTCTGCCTATGTAGTCACATCCGCAACCACATTTAAATTTATATATAACTGAATTAATATGAAAGGGAGGCAGAAAATCCTTGCGCCTGGAAGAAAGAATTGGTCGAGTAAAAAATATTACTCGCACATTAGCAGCATAAAAACACTTACTAACGGAATGGGAAATTCGCCTTGCTAGTTTTTCACCTTCTCTGCCAATGTAAGGAAGTCGTAAATAAATTGGACATTTCTTAACAATTTCTTGCCATAATATATATATATATATATATATATATATATATATATATATAGAGAGAGAGAGAGAGAGAGAGATTGTTGTATGTATGTGTGTGTGTGTTTATCACTTTAAACGTTATATTTAGTGGATACCCATATCTGAGTAGATTTATTTTAAATAGTATATCTATTTTCGCCTGAATATTCGAGAAAATTCATTACAGAAAAATACCCGCCTTCCAGTGAACTCATCTAGGTACTCACCAGGCTTGACGTTGCTTAACTTTGATGATCGTATGTGAACAGATAAACAGATAAATAGATAGAATCAAATCTTCTGCTTCAAACCAAATGCATTGAGCGCTTGTTGAAGAATGAATTCTTATTAGAATACCAATCACTTATTTTTAGACACATCGTTTAATTATTAAACAGTATATTTATTTATTTTCGTCTACCGGCCTGAGTTCGAAAAGTCTTACTAAAGAAAAAATTGTTTTTAATCATTTCACCCCAAGCAAGGCGGAAGTGCCAGTAATACGCTGCCAGATACAGAGTGTGAAAGTGAGACAAATGTCTGGGTATCGGAGGGGGTTGGATAAAAAATGAACGGGGTTCAAGATAACAGAAGATGCCCATTGATGTAGCTTTTAAATTTTGGATGTTCGTATTTTATCATGGAAGCAAGTAAACTGAAGGATGTTCCACTAGAGGGAAGTGCGAGAAAAGAAACTCTTGTAGTAGAAGTGACGGTTACATTTAACTATTTCAACAGTAAAAGGGTGGGACCTAGATGCCAATCTAGTCGGACTCTTAAATTCTTGTAGTCCGGGCATCAGGGAAGATATCTCGCCAGAACAGTTGGCATGAAAATATTTGTAGAAAAGACAAAGGGAAACCACATCACGACTGTTAGAAAGTGACTGTAGACGAGGTGCCAGATCAGGACAGATTACATTGCAGATCCTTCTTTGGATCTTGTCGAGAACCTCGAGATGAACAGTAAGGACATCATCCCAGGTATGGCAACAGTATTCAATCCATGGACTAATGGTAGATTTGTAAATGGGCAAAATGGACGCTGACGAAAAAAATCTGTATGCTTTCTCCGGCGGGATTCGAGCCTGGATCCATCTTTGCAGGAGAAACCGTCATTAGATCCAACGTGCTTTAGACCGACTCAGCAATGGAGGGCGTCGAACGAATAGTGACTTATAGCGTCTACTCGGAAATGTATGTGTATTTACTAAAAATAACATGTATAGTGATAAAATGTGTCGGATTAAAAAAAAATTCCATTACTTCTCTAGAAATTTAGAAGTTTGGATACGAAACGGATATGAGCTTTCGAGAATTTGGAAAGGATTTGCGTTTATAAGATTTTCCAATTCCCAAATCCCAATTGAAAGAGACAAGGTTTCAAGACGTCGAGGAAATTCAAGAGAATGCGACGAGGAAGCTGCTGGATATCACAAAAATGGAATTCCAGGAATGGTTCTGTCACTGGAAACAACGCTGGATAAAGTTTGTGGGTTCAGAAAGTGACTATTTCAAAGGAGATTAAATACCGAATTGATATGTGATGTATGTGTTGTAGTTCTCTTTTTATAGCACCAATCCCGATATTTTTTTTAACAGACCTCATATATATATATATATATATTAAGACATTTTTATGTATATACATTCTTTTATAGATACAAATATTTAAGTAAATGCTCTATTTATAATAAACAGTATTAAACAACATTTACCGGCCTGAATGCCCGAGAAACTTTCATAGAAAGGATTCGATTTAACTGCTTTTAAACTACAATCTTCTCTCACGTACATTCAAACCTGTTCAATGCGTATCCAAATGTAAACAAATGACGTCACACATGAAATGGACAAAGTCCGACAATTATTTAAAGACATTTTTATGTTTATACATTCTTTTTATAGATACAAATATTTAAGTAAATGCTCTGTTTTTTTATAAACAGAGCATTTACTTAAATATTTATAAATATTTATAAAAGAATGTATAAACATAAAAATGTCTTAAAATAATTGTCGCACTTTGTCCATTTTTATAATATATATAATACAATATTTATTTTAGGATATTAAAATAAGTTAAAAAGCGCTACACATTTCAATTATGTTTCGATACCATAAACGTGTCTCTTCAGACGATGTTAATCTACTGGCATGTGAAAGATTAATTTAATTTCAAAAATCATAAATTTAAAAAAAAAATAATTGACTTTGCCGTGATTAACCAATCGAATGTGACCTACGCTAAATTCAAATTCACCGGAATAATTTTTTAATATAGGTCATGACACGAAGTTGTCTCCATATAAAACCTTGACAAGATACAGATTCTTACATTATTTCGTAAGATGTATCGAAGTCTGACGCTCAAACTTCCTAATAAGCAAAAACCGAAAGAGATAGCAATTTAATATAATGCTCAGCCAGTCAAATTCTCGTTCAGCTTCTTACATAAAATTTTGTAGTTGATAAATAAAAGACCCCTTTAAGAAACTGGACAACAACTTAACGGTTAAAAAATAAAACAAGAAAAAAAAAACAAAAACCAGGATCCCAAATACAGAACTACTTTGGCAAATTAATATGCAAACGTTAAATAATGAGCATCCATATAAGATGTTAATAACTAATCAATGTAAATATTCTGATTTTTTTAAATTAAATTCATCTTTCACTCGCCAGTAGTTTAACATTGCCTGAAGAGATACATTTATGGAGTCGAAACGTAACTGAAATTGTGTAGCGATTGTTAACATGTTTAAATATCCTAAAATAAATACTATTTAGCTCTACTATTTTAAATTAAATGTTACGTACATTGTGAGTGATCATACTCCATTTGTTCTCATTATATATATATATATATATATATATATATATATATATATATATATATATATAAATAATCAAAAATAACCTGGATCTTATCCTATATATTAATTCAGCCAATCACACAAAGAAAGAAAGAAAGAAAGAAAGAAAGAAAGAAAGAAAGAAAGAAAGAAAGAAAGAAAGTGAATCATCAAGAAAATGATAAAGGAAATAGTGCCCTTTTATCCTAGGCGTAGTAACCAGAATTAGTGACGCGGAAGGATTTATCCAGACTTCATTCAGTAAGTCGTGCGGTTCTGTACGAACGACTTCTACAAAAGATATCAAGTGTTGGCTGGTTTTCACACCAGAAACCAGGCACGCATAAATTTATTCCTAAGATAAATGCGCTTATCTCTCCATGTTCATGCACATCATAACCTTTACGAATAGATGTCAATATATTCATATGCACACATATTTGCGATTGTCTAAAAATGTCTAATCCTTGCGAGTGCTAAAGCGCGTGCGCCTGAATGTTTTGATCGGGAGCGGATAAAAACGCACAGATACTTTTACACCATGTGTATTACAGATTTTATATGATTGCAGCAATAATACTTGTTGAAGGTCATGGTTTCTTTGCAAAAATCTCAGTCAAACTGCAGGATAAAAACTCTTTATCGGATGGACCTCATTTTCGAAGTTTGTAGTAACGTTGTCTGAAGCACGCATGCGCTCTCAAATTCTTTCGCAAGCTTTGTCGTTTTTATTTTTAGTTTTCATTATAACATCATGTATCATTCATTTTATTCAGTTTGTTTTATTTTGCACCGTCGCTGTGGTCACCGCTCCCATCCATTACACAATTGTGTTTCATGGTGACATTCAAGCAGAATATTTCAATGGCTTGCCGGATCTTTTTGCACTGGGGTGTTGAGGTTACGCCTTCCCTCCTCCCAGAGGTGGATTTGTTTTCGAAGTCTAGCCTTTGGCCAAAGAGGAAAGACATACAGCTGCTGATTTGAATTTGTTTTATTGTCCTAGATTGGTTGACACCTGGCTGCCCTGCTATTTAACCCATAGCTGGGGACGATGCGCATATAGAAGGAAAATATATCTTGATTTTTTTTTATGTAGGTATCCAGCTGCGAAAGTATTGACAAAAGATAATCTCTCGTTCTTCCGTGACTTCAATTGGAGTATCTCAGGATATACCAGCAGGACAGTTTCTAACCGAAATGTAAACTTTAATTCATTAATTAGGCTGCCTGGAAAAAAAGAGAAGCAACATTTTAGTTTCTTCCGCTCTCCGTGGACATACGGCCATATCACGTTGAAACACCGGTTCTCGTACGATCACTGAAGTTAAGCAACGTCTAGCCTGGTCAGTATCTAAATGTGTGACCACTTAAGAATACCAGGTACTGTAAACTTGGCTGTGCGGATGGTGTAATGGATAACGGCTCGGAATTGGAAATCAAAGGGCCGAGTTCCAATTCCAGTGGGGTTCGTTATGCCCACCTACGCGCAAATAGTCTTGGGAAAGATATGAATCCACCTCTTCTCCCTCCCCCCGCCACAGCTATGTAACAAACCCGACAGAAATTAGAAATCAGCTCTCCGATGTCCAATTCTGAGACATTATCCATTACATCACCCGAACATCCAAGCTTACAGAATCTAGCATTCCAAATCGGTCACCCATCTAGGTACTGATCAGGCTGGACGTTGCTTAACTTCAATGATTATACCAGAACTGGGGTTTCAACATGATATGGCCGTAAGCCATTTTTCTCTCAGACGCAATGCATTCGGAGTAAATTTATCAAACAATTAAACTATTTTATTTATAGTCATCAATTCATTATATATGATTACTGGTATCAGGGAGTAATATTAAATTGTTTTTTTTAGTTTTTTTTTTTTTTTAACTCTAATGAGAAAATGGATGTCTACAAATTTTCTGTCATGTTGATTTATCTTTAAGAGTAATACTTAGCGTTTGTAACCGTCCGGTGTAAGACAATATTCTCTCATTCATTTGTAATGCTTCGATATGAATATTTCTGCACATAAAAAAATATTTTAAAATATATTTTCTACTATTTATAGCAATTCTAGTTAGTAACTTAACAAGAATAAATAATATATATATAATCTTTCTTTTTTTTTTTTTACTTTTACGTTTTTTTTATCTTTTCACCCCAAACAAGACAATAAAGTCACTAAGACGCAAAGGATTACTGAGTGTTAAGAATATGAGGCAAAGAAAACACTATTAAAAAGAGAGTACAATAAAACTTGAATTAAAAAGACAAAAGATTGATATTGCATATAATTTTTTGGAGATCAAATTTAACTAGCAAACGAGAATCCAGAAGGTAATCCGACAAGCGAGAAGGGCGAAAGAAGAAACTGTCACCATAAAACTTATGGTTACATGTAGCCATTTCAACTGTAAAACAATGAGACCTTGCCGCCGTCAATCTACAGGGTGGTCCGAAAGTCTTGTCACCCCTACCAGTGTCGTCCTCTTCGAAAGAGCTGGTTTACTAAATCTTGCAATGAAGTCATGTCGCACATACTCCATACTCTTGCCAGAATGCCCACGATCATGCATCCATACACTTGCAAGTTTCTCTTCCAAACTGTCGAAGTTCGTGTCAGCCATCTGAAATAGAAAATTATATTATGTAGTGATGATAAGACTTTTTTTGTAGCTTAAATTTATAATGTCTAGTTAGCAAATACAAAAGCTCACCAAAATAATCACCATTAAATTATTTACAGAAAAGGCACAGTGAAGCCGAGACGCCAGGTCAGGACCAATAGTATTTTAGATTATTCTTTGAATTTTATTTAGAATCTCTAAACACATAAGCAGAAGCACTTGGTCAGATGTGACAGCAATATTCAATAAATGAACGAATGGTAATCTTCAATAAATTTTCAAGATGGATTCTAATGAGAAAAATTGACTCGCATGACACAGTGAACCATAACTCACAATCCATTTTATATAGAATTTCCACTTTATATCAGCCGGAAAAAATTTCAACCTGCTGGATGTTGACATCAGTTATGCTGATGGAAGGCAGAAAAGATTTCTCGAAGATGATTAAAAGAGAGCAATTTCGTTTTGGTGCGTTAAAATTAACAAGCCATTTCTTGCCTCTTCGCACATTAATTATGCTCTTAATTGCTGCATATATCTTTACATAGTTACAGGGTCTATGGAAATGGAACTTGACAAACAAGAATAATAAAAAATAACACATTTTTCTTTGACAAAATCTTTCTGTTCAAACTCTGATCACTCTCATCCCAACCATATATATATATATATATATATATATGGAAGAAAGAGAATGAAGCTCACAAACTAAAAAATACCCTCCCTAAAATTAAGCATGGTTTTCTGCTCTGTTAATGTTTTGCTGCTTCTAGATGAGGAGAACTAATACACTGGAATCCTGGGTAAAGAACAGTATTTGCCTATTCATAAAAATATAAAATGAATTGCACAAAAGCTGTCTTTGGGGTGTCACTGGACGTTCGAAAATGACAATGACCTAAAACACATGGCACGAATTGTTACAAAATATTTAGCTGACAACAAAATTAAGGTATTGGCATACCCTGCACAAAGTCATGACCTAAACCCTATTGAAAATTTATGGACATCTCATCCATATCTCTACAGATCTCATATATTCTAATTCCGGAGTCATTTTTGAGCTGGTTGATAAAGATTTTTATTTGTCTTCCTCTTGAAGTCCCCCCCCCCAATAATTTACATTCTGTTTTATAAACTGATGCATGCCGTCTTTTTTTTTTTTACTTTTCCAGAAGTGGCGACTCACCCGCATTAACCTTTAATAGATTCTGTCTGTAATCTTTGGTAGGTTCCCATAGACATACACAGGGAATAGAGAAAGTACGGTAGAATAATGGTTAGAGGCTCGGGTTGAGGAATCGTAAAACCGAGTTCGAATTCTAGTCGGATCCCTTACATTAACTTACGTTCTAATACCCTTAGGAAATGTGTGAATCTTTTTCTCCCCCACCCCAGCTATGGGTAAATTGCTGGATAGACTGGGTTCTATATCCTTGGGTGGCAGCTTGTCTAGGAGAAGGACAACTCTGAATTCAAAACCTGATCTTCCGGATTGGGTATTGTCTACCTCTTGCAGTTAATTTTCCATAATTTAGATTTTGTTTTATAAACTGATGCATGACGTTGTTTTTTGTGTTTTTTTTACTTTTCCAGAAGTGGCAACTAAACCGCATTAGCATTTAATAGATTCTATCTGTAGAATTGTTTGTAAGTTCCCATAGACATACATAGGGAATAGGGGAGGTACGGCTGAGTAATAGCGGCTCGAGTTGAGGAATCGTAAAGCCGAGTTCGAATTCCAGTCGAATCCATTAAATTCACTTACGTGCTAATATCTTTATCTGGAAAGGTATGAATCCTTTTCTTCTCCCCCTAGCTATGGGTAAATAGCTGGATAGATTGGGTTCTATAGCCTTGGATGGTAACTGGTCTAAGAGAAGGACAACTCTCAATTCAAAACCTGATCTTCCAGATTGGGTATTGTCTACCTCTTGAAGTTTTTTTTCCTTATAATTTAGATTTTGTTTTATAAACTGATGCATGACGTCTTGTTTACTTTTCCAGAAGTGACAACTAAACCGCATTAGCATTTAATAGATTCTATCTGCAGAATTTTTTGTACGTTACCATAGACATACTTAGGGAATAGATGAGGTACCGTGGAGTACTGGTTAGCGGCTCTGATTGAGGAATCGTAGAACCGATTTCGAATTCCAGATGATTTGTGAAAGGTATATCTTCTTCTTCGCTAGCTATGGGTAAAATAGCAGGGCATACTGGGTCCTATAGGCTTGGATGGCAACCAGTCTAAGTGTTATGGTGAAACACACCTATTCTATAGTTAATAGACTCTCCCACCTAATATAAATAGTAGTAGTAAGAGAAACGAGGGTCGGTCGATGCTCTTCAGACGTGGTTGACAGCGGTCCCGCGGAAGAAACGCCGATGGAGGTGATTTTCGATACGTTTGATCTAACAACGCCTGCAACGATTTTACCTGAGATACGCCGATCCAGGAGAAAAAGAAAGGCAACTGATCATTTCAAAGTGGATCCAAAACGTAGGAAATGCGCTACGATGATGCTAAAAAAAATGAAGTTTTTTTTTTGTTTTTTCTTCATATTTCATGTAAAAAAATAAAGAAAGAAAACTGTTTTACTCCTACGGAGTAAAGTTTTAGGAGGTGGGTGTTATGGTGAAACACACCTATTCTATAGTTAATAGACTCTCTCACCTCGTCGCCAAAGTTGTTGTGAAGTTATTTCGCAGTGGAGGCATGTATTTGTACTAAGTCGGTCCTAAAACAGGTTCGACGTACAAAACGTTAGGAACTTGATATAATAGGTATTACGCAGAGTAATCTTGTTGTGGTCGCTGACTACTTTCGTATTCGACTAACTGTCGACTACTGTCGTCCGACATCGACTGACCCTCGCTTCTCTTACTACTCCTACTTATATTAGGTGGGAGAGTCTATTAACTATAGAATAGGTGTGATTCACCATAACACTAAGAGAAGGAAACGAAGCTGTGGGGAGAAATAATTGTAATTGCCGACTTCTTGTAGGAACATAGAGGAAGAAAGGGCCGACTCTAGTTATGCTTCAATAAAGAGTCATTTTAGAGTCATTAAAAAACGACTGCAGTTTAAGTCTTGACCTATTTACCCTGCGTAGACGAGTATCTCAGCTACTTGTATATTTTTGTGTGTTATCAATTTTGTCTGTTCCTGTGGAGTGGGATGAGAGTGTACTGCCATCTGATCCAGGCAAATTCATACCGGATCCTAAAAATGTGTATGCATTTCGTTGGGGACCGTTTGTCGATCCAAATTCCCACTGAAACTTCTACTATGGATTTGTACGTCTGAATAAATGCGATCTCGGCTACGCATGGGCAGCTTTCGTTCGAATGCGGCGGGTTCGTTTGAGGGAACCGTATCGACTGATCACGAGTGAATGACACAACTACAACAACTAAGTTATCATCAGATATTGCAACAGATATCTTTCGCTAGTTAGAAATATTGATATCTGTTAGCAGAGATAGATCTGCATGGCTGTAAAATTCGAGCGATATCAGGCTATGATCCAAATGAATGAAATGTAACTCCCCAAAAACTTTTAGAAACCAATAGAAAGCTTGAATCCTATATATATATATATATATATATATATATATATATATATGTGTGTGAACATTGAAGTCAACACTCAGAAGCGACAGGCTGGGCGCAATCGTCAGGCCGCGAATGTTTTTCTCGACTATTTATATATATGGGGCAGTGGTGCATTGTGGGTAATCTATTCTGGC